AATTTAAAAAAAAACAGCCCTGATTACCCTACTGACCTCTTAATAGTATGTTTGTATTAATTATAAATTCAAGATTGGTTTTTTACATTCGAAAACTATTGATACGAAAATTGTGAATAATGAACGTTGATAGGTAAAAACGTAATACTCAATATAATATACAATGCATGCAAGAGTCAAATAGCTCTTTAAGCAGAAGTCGCCGCTCGTATTTATCCTTTCAAATATAACAGACGATATTGTGGAACCGAATACACCCAACTCTTTTTTACACGGTTTCTTTTTACACGGATTTGAAGTTACACGGTTGAGAAAAATTTTTAATCTACTACAGTTTTTAAATCTCTGTTGTGTTTGTATTATGTTTGTTTTTACCACACTTAGCACCATTGCTGAAATGAACATAGGTACATAGTAGGAACTGGGAAATCCAATTATTCGATAACTCTCACCTACACATTTTGTTCGCATGATATTTACATTGCTGAAGTGGATATCTCCAGCGATGATACCGACTTTAGTCCAGTTCGTTGCGCTTGTTATCAAGTAGCGACGAATAATTATGTAGCAATGTAAATATTTATTTCTATTCTAATTTTTCTGTTCTTAGTTCTGGCTTAATATATTTATTTTGTTTTTTGTTTAATCTACCAATTTTTCACCTGTTTGAATTATGTATTTTATGTTTTATGCTCAATAAAACATACAATTTGTATGCATAAATTTTATAGTTTTCAACATTTTTTACACGGTTTTTCGAAGTAAATGTAATTTTTTATTTAATCTTACACGGTTTTCAAATGACATGCAACGTATCCCCTTTTTTTCTATAGGAAACGCCTCTTTTTTTACACGGTAGATACGTTACTCAGAAATCCGTGTAAAAAAAACCGTTGGGTGTATTTCAGATCCGAACATGACTTCTAGCATGAGGATTTCGAAGAAGAAATTATTCAACCGTCATCAAAAAATTATGCAACTCATTCCATTGCACTTTTAAATTCACTATTTAAGTACGAATATAAATAGAACTGACGATCACTACAAAGCACTAAACAGATTGGAATTCCTTATCACTGAAACAAACAAGTAAAAAATATCTGTTTTGTTTTCCAAAAATGACAGAGCACGTGTAGCCAGGATAAAGAATAAATTGTTATAAGAAATACTAGTAGTGCAA